GGAGAGAGTCCAGTGGAGGCTGCAAAGCTGCTGAGGGGCCTGGAGCATCTCTGTGCCAGGACAGGCTGAGAGCCCTGGGGCTGCTGAGCTGCAGAAGAGAAGCCTCAGAGGGGATCTGATCAATGCTGAGCAAGAGCTAAAGGGCCCCGGGGACAAGAGGCTGGGGCCAGACTCTTGTCAGTGGTGCCCAGTGACAGGACAAGGGGCAACGGGCACCAACTGGAACCCAGGAGGTTCCACCTGAGCAGGAGGAGAAACTTCTTTGGTGTGAGGGTGGCTGAGCCTGGAGCAGGCTGCCCAGAGAGGCTGTGGAGTCTCCTGCTCTGGAGAGATCCCAAACCCACCTGGATGTGACCCTGGGCACCCTGCTGTGGGTGATCTGCTGTAGCAGGGGGGTTGGAGGAGATGATCTCCAGAGGTCCCTGCCAGACCCCATCATACTGGGATCCTGTGATCTGTGTCCAACAGATCTGTTGGTCTCCCTCCTGGCCACCCCTGCAGCCTTTTCCACTTCCCAAACCTTACCACCTACACCCAGTCCTCCTCCCCACAAATTCTCAGAGCTGCTCTTTACAGATATTGTTTTGCTTTGTGCTGCGGGGATAATGACTTGATTTGTTTGTAATTCAGGAAATGAAGATCTTAATCAGATTTATGCTAGAAATTCCTGCTTCCACAAATTGGTATTTATCTGTTCCTTCCAAAAATATTTTTCTAAATTAAAGGCAGTGAATAAACAGAAGAAAAAGAAGATTCAGTGAAAAATTTAATATTATAGTCAAGTGTTTTATACTGCGTCTCTGTCCTGGTGCCTTTCTGGGATGTGCTGCCAGAGGAGGAACAAGTCCCAACTACACGTTAACTCCTGAAGGGCTCTGACTGCAACCATAAAGTCATCAACCTGCCAATCTCATGTAGCCTTTTACTACCAGTAGTGTTTGCTGCCCAGAGTATATTTGCTCTATGATTTGCAGTCATAAATTATTGTTGTTTGTGTTGAGATAGTGACTGAGAGCCTGCCAAAGGCTAAGGCAGCACATTCCCAGCCCCAAAGTGAAGCCAAGAAAAGTCAAGAGCTAGGTGCAGTTCCATGGGCAGTACTGCCAACAGAAATTTATACAATTTATACAGAATTTATGAATTTATACAGAAGATTTTCTGCATCTCGTCCCCACCCCGTAGATGATGAGCCTGTGCCAGGCTGCCCAGGGCCGTGGTGGAGTCCCCATCCCTGGAGGGGTTTCCAAGCCGTGGAGATGTGGTGCTGAGGGACACGGGTCAGTGGAGACCTGGCAGTGCTGGGGGAACAGTTGGACTTGATCTTAAAGGTCTTTTCCAACCAAAATCATTCTACGGCTCTATGATATACACATAGACAAATACACGTGTATAAAGTCTCCCTATGTGTAAATCAAGGAGCTCTGCAGAGGCACCCCAGGGGTAGAAGACACCAGGGCTGGCTCTTTTCTCTTTCCAGAGTGCTAAAGCTTTACAAAGCAAGGCAAAAACGGGGAATTTTCTGAATACATTTTTTTCCCCTTTTTTCTAATGTGCCCAAATCCACCTTCACTCCCACTTTTGCACCCTGCCATTTTTTTCAGAGCAGAGACGAGAAGAGAACCTCCTCATACGCAGCCCCACGGTGCTCACCCCCCCTGCAGAGTGAAGGGATTGGCTGTGGCTCCCCACTGAGCCCCGGGGGGTTTGCTCGTCTGGGCTAAATACAACCCCCCAGCTCCCCACAGCAGCGTGAGCAGCCGGGGCCCCGAGTCGTGTCCTCTGCTGTGACCTGGGGTAAGTACAGGCTGGGCTGCCTGAAGCTGGCAGACTAGAGATGTTCTTCCACTGCAAGTTCAGTTTGTCTGAGGGCTTGCATCCAAGCAAGGATTTACCAAAGCATCTGGCAGAAACAACAAACCAGCATGGCAGAAAAGTGCTAAGATGGTAATTTGATAAATATTATTTTTGATCTGATATATACAGATGGACTTGATGTGAGAAGCCACCTTGAAATTTATCTTTATAATAATTTAAAATTTTCCTCATTGTCTCAAGTACTACAACAATAGGATATATAGTTTTATTTCTATGACAACTTTTCTCTCCACAGGAGGCAAGGAGGGTTGTCAGCTCCTCAGCTTTAGGTTCTTCACATCCTCAGTTATTTATTTCACTGTCCCAGTTCTCCCTTTCAGTTTCAGAGAAATTTCTTTCACTCATCCAAGGGCCGGTCAGCTCTACCTTCTGTTCCTGTGTGACTCCTTCCCCTAATCAGGGGAGTGGGTGTTTGACAGCTTCTGAGGGTCTGCACCATGGGTTGCTAGAGGAGACCACCACCATGGGGAGCTGAGCTGTATGGAGAGACTAACACTCTCCCACTGCTGTCGTTCAGGCCCAGCTGTTTGGCCATGTTCTGGTTTTTTTTTGTGTGTTTTTTTTTTTTTTTGTTTTTTTTTTTGTTTTTTTTTTTTTTTTTTTTTTTTTTTTTTTTTGTTTGATTTTTTGTTTGTTTTTTTTTAAACTGATAGCACATGATTCCCCAAAATCCCAGCATGGGGGTCTGGCAGGGACCTCTGGAGATCACCTCATCCAACCCCCCCTGCTCCAGCAGTCACCCACAGCAGGGTGCCCAGGATCACATCCAGGTGGGTTTGGGATCTCTCCAGAGCAGGAGACTCCACAGCCTCTCTGGGCAGCCTGCTCCAGGCTCGGCCACCCTCACACCAAAGAAGCTTCTCCTCCTGCTCAGGTGGAACCTCCTGGGTTCCAGTTGGTGCCCGTTGACCCTTGTCCTGGCACTGGGCACCACTGACAAGAGTCTGGCCCCAGCCTCTTGCCCCCCGGGGCCCTGTAGCTCTTGCCCAGCATTGATCAGATCCCCTCTGAGGCTTCTCTTCTCCAGCTCAGCAGCCCCAGGGCTCTCAGCCTGTCCTGGCACAGAGATGCTCCAGGCCCCTCAGCAGCTTTGCAGCCTCCACTGGACTCTCTCCAGGTTAGCTCCTGGTCTCTCTGGAGCTGGGGAGCCCAGCACTGGCCCCAGGACTTCTGAGGTGGCCTCACTGGGGCAGAGCAGAGGGGCAGGAGAACCTTGCTTGACCTGCTGGCCAGAGCACGCCAGGTGAGGTCTCAGAGTGCACAAATTCTTATTAGTTTGTTCTCCTCAGTGATACAAAACATGCTCATTTCCAGCTGAATAGAGACATGCACGTAGTCCTTGACCAGCTAGAGCTGAGGATGTGCTGCCTTGGCCACCAGCTGCTCAGCTGGCGCTTCTATAATGCACTAAATTTAACTTCATTTGCAGAGAAGCCTTCTTGGAATATTTCTCTGGAAATCTCCCCAGCCTCCCATGGCTGAGCATCAGAGCTGATGGCTCGTGCTCCTGGGGCAGCTTCCAAAGTGCTGAAATAGGGACCTGCTGTTTGCTGTTGAGTTTTCTAATGTCCTTGGGCAGACAAAACATCACTTCATGTCCTCGGTACTGTTTGAGCCTCTGAATTTCTTCCTTTCCATTTAACCTTTTTGGCAGCTGTAAAGCACAAATCCATTTTCCTTCCATCAGGGCTGTGTTGGTTAATTGACTTGCTGGTTAAGCAGATAAAGGTCCCTAAAACATAATATTTGTTGCCATACTTAAACAAAAAGGGAAAAAAATCAATACAGAGTCACCTATAATGGGGCTACTTCTCATCTCAGAGTGAGATGTTATCTCTTGTGGTCTGGATGCATTCAGTTCAGCACAAACATGGACATTTGAGGGATGAAGGGCTCGAGAGCAGCCCTGGGGTGAAGGACCTGGGGTTGCCGGGGGTGAGGAGCTGGCCAGGAGCCCCTGGCAGCCTGGGCTGCACCCCCAGCAGCGTGGGCAGCAGGGCATGGAAGGCATCCTGCCCCTCTCCCCTGCTCTGGGGAGACCTCCCTGCAGTTCTGGGGCAGCTCTGGAGTCCTCAGCACAGCAGAGACAGGGACCTGCTGGAGCGGGGCCAGAGGAGCCCCAGCAATGACCCAAGGGGGGAACCCCTCTGCTGGGAGCCCAGCAGGAGAGAGTTGGGCTTGGGCAGCCTGCAGAGGAGAAGGCTCCAGCTGGGGAGACCTTCTGGGGGCCGGACAGGACTTCCAGGGGCCTCTCAGAAAGCTGGGGAGGGACTCTTGAGCAGGGCCTGCTGGGACAGGACAAGGGGGGATGTTTTGGCACTAAAAGAGGGAGATTTAGACTGGAGAGAAGGGAGAAATTTTGGACACTGAAGATGGTAAGCCCCTGGCCCAGGTTCCCCTGAGAGGTGGTCGCTGCCCCATCCCTGGAACCATTCCAGGGGAGGTTGGCCGGGGCTCTGAGCAACCTGCTCTAGTTGCAGATGTCCCTGCTCAGTGCAGGGGGGTTGGACTAGATGCCCTTGAAAGGTCCCTTCTCAACCAAACCATTCCATGATTCTATGATTCTTTCTCTGCCTTCATCTCTGTCCCCCTCCATGGCCCCTTCTCTCTCCTGTCCAAGTGCTCAGACCTGCAGGGACCAGCATGGCCAAGCTGCTCCTCCTACTGCTGTGGGAAGCAGCCAGACTCGTTCCCAGGGCTGACCTCCAGGTCTCAGTCCCACCTCTCCCCTTTCTCCAGACAGGAGCTCCCTGGCCCCAGGCTGTCATCCTGCCTGTGCTGCTTTTGGGCACCTTCCAGAGCATTGGGCACCAAATCTCCTGCAGCTCTGGGTATTTAAATATTTGGGCTACAACTAGGGAGAGCACGTTAAATGCCACATTGCTCTTGCCCCATTATCTTCTGATGTGCACAGCCTAGACAGTGACCCTGGAGCTGGTGATGTGATGGTTTTACATGAGGGTAGCTGCACCCAGCAAGGATCCCTGGGGTTTGGCTCCTAGGACGCTGTCCCCCCAACACCATTGCAGCTGTGGTGCACAGGGTGTCTCATAATGGCTTTTATTCCAAGACAGCATTATTTCCAGACCCTCGGACCATCAGTGTATGAGATGTCATCTTCCAATATGTCTGTGTCCAGTCCCCTGACCTTCATCCTCACTGGCATTACTGGTCTGCCAGCGAGCAGATACC